TAGCCTAAATAAATTATTCGTTCTACGATTGAACTACATCCAAGTTAACAAGGCGTTTTTAACCATAAATTCCAGAATCCCTTCAACATTGACTACAATACATTCTAATTGATTCATCTCTCATTAAAAAACAAAACAAACAACAAAACAAGAAACAGCTAGGGTACATTTTACTAACAGCTCTTCACAATAAATAACGGGAATATAGATGTAGGTGCCATTGGCAAAGTTAGTTGCAATCATATTAAAAATATACGAAGTCTGATGAGACTTGTTCAGGCTTGACAATCCTTGATTTCAGTCACCGAGTATCATCAGGATTTTTGAACTGTTAAACACATAATGGATCCATAACCTTATAGAGAGAGTGAGATGAAAACAAAAGTAGAGTCTTAAGAATAAAGTGTTCTGGTTGGGCTCGGTGGCTCAGCCTGTAATCCCAGTGCTTTGGGAGGCCGAGGTGAGTGGATTGCCTGAGCCCACGGGTTCGAGACCCGCCTGGGCAACTTGGCGAGCCCTCACCTCTACAATAAATCTAAAAATCAGCTGGGCGTGGTAGCACGCACCTGTAGTTCCAGCTACTGGGAAGGCTGAGGTGGAAGGATCGCCGGAGCCCAGCAGGTCGAGGCTGTGGTGGCCGGGAGCGGCCACTGCACTCCAGTCTGGGCGACTGAGTGAGACTCCAACTCAAAAAAAAAAAAAAAGAATAAAGTGTTCTAACGGGCCCCCAACGCCTGTAACCACACTTCTCAACTGGGGTGAGGGAGTGTCAATAGTCCTGTGGTCAGTGTGTTTAAGAAACAGTTCATATCTTCTCTCACGCTAGGAAAATCAGAAATCCTACAATCAGAAAGTTTTCAAGGAACATTTGCCCAAATTTATTTGACTCTCTACGTGGCTCTCCTACTTCAAACTAAATAACAATTAAGAACATCTCAAGTAAGGCTACATTTTGGAAACACCAGTGTATCAGCACACAAACCCATCCTGATATTCCCAGGCACTCTAACCTCCTCCCAGAAACATACCAGTGTGCCACCATTGCAAGCCCACCGTCACTTCCCTAGACACCCTGGTGGCTCCAGACACCACCCTTTGGTCCATGCTGTTTCTTCAGTACAAATACCCTCCTCCCCCTTAGACGTCCCTAGCTGGTAAATGCCTTCTCATCCTTGAAGTGCAAGTAAAATTTGCTCTTCTGCTCTGCCAGGGAGGCTTGAGCAAACCTTCCTCTAGGCTGCCATTTTCCATTCCAATTTTCTTGGTTCTAGACATTTCCACAGTCTATTATAATGGATAGTCTTCTTGTGCAACACCTTACTCACAAATATCTAAAAGCAAGACTCTTAGATGATAGAAATTTTTCCTTATTATCTCTTACTAAGGTAAACCGGCAGAAGGGAAATACTTAAATATTGGTTAAATGAGTGAATAAATAAATAGTAAATTATGATACAGTCCTTTTTGGGAGAGAAATCGAAATAACAGATTAAGGTGACTATATTCTTATTTTATCAATTAATGTATGGTGTTAGAAATCTTATTAAAAGTGTATTTCTTGACCAGGCTCAGTGGCTCAGCCTGTCTTCCCAGCACTTTGGGAGGCCGAGGCGAGTAGATTGCCTGAGCCCACGGGTCCGAGACCAGCCTGGGGAACTTGGCAAGACCTCATGTCTACAATAAATCAAAAATTAGCCAGGTATGGTGGTGTGCGTCTGTAGTTCCGGCTACTTGGAAGGCTGAGGTGAAAGAATTGCTGGAGCCCAGCAAGTCAACGCTGGGGTGGCCGTGAGTGTGTCATTGCTCCCCAGCCTGGGCAATGGAGTGAGACACCAACTCAAAAAAAAAAAAAGTGTATTTCTTGCCAGATACAGTGGCTCACGTCTGTAAAACTTAGCACTTTGGAAGGCTGAGGTGGGAGGATTGATTGAGCCTAGGAGTTTGAGACCAGCCTGGGCAATACAGCAAGACCTTGTCTCTACAAAAAATTTTTTAAAAATTAGCTGGGCACTGTGGTACATGTCTGTAGTCTCAGTTACTCGAGAGTGTGAGACAGAAGGATTACAGAAGTCTGGGAGGTTGAGGTTGCTGTGAGCTGTGATCATGCCACTATATTCCAGCCTGAGCAACAGAGTGAGACCTCGGTTCAAGTAAATACATGAATAAATTAATTAATTAAAAAAATTTAACGTGCATTATCTGGAGAAGCGATATCCTATAAAGAATAAAAAAAATTAAAAGTTGTTTTAAAAAATACATTTCTGGATAATTCCAGATCTCCCCATTTATTATCTAATTAAAAAAACAGACAGTACCACTGAATTGTACATTTATTTTATTTTATTTTATTTTTTGAGTTGGAGTCTCACTCTGTTGCCCAGATTGGAGTGCAGTGGCCGCTCCCAGCAACCGCAGCCTCGACCTGCTGGGCTCCAGCGATCCTTCCACCTCAGCCTTCCAAGTAGCTGGAACTACAGGCACACGCTACCACGCTCAGCTAGTTTTTGATTGATTGTAGAGATGAGGTCTCGCTGCCCAGGCGGGTCTCAAACCTGCGGGCTCAGGCAATTCACTCAGCTCAGCCTCCCAAAGCGTGGGATTATGGGCTGAGCCACCAAGCCTGGCCTGAATTGTACATTTAAAAACAGTTAAGCTGGGCTCAGTGGCTCAGCCTGTAATCCCGCACTTTGGGAGGCTGAGGTGAGTAACTTGCCTGAGCCCGCGCGTTCGAGACCCGCCTGGGCAACTTGGCGAGACCTCATCTCTACAATAAATTAAAAAAAAAATCAGCCGGGCGTGGTAGCGCATACCTGTAATTCCAGCTGCTCGGAAGGCTGAGGCGGAAGGATCGCCTGATCCCAGCAGGTTGAGGTTGCGGTGGTCGGGAGCAGCCACTGCACTCCAGTCTGGGCGACAGAGTGAGACTCCAACTCAAAAAAAAAAACAGCTAAAATGATACATTTTATGTTATCTATATTTTCCCACAATAAAAAAGCAAATGGAAAGTAGTATTTATCTGATTGTTGTGGGATAGGGAAATAATAAAAATACCTACAATTTTTTTTTACCCAATTTCTTAGAATAGAGCAAGAGTTTTTAAATGTGTTGAACTGAAATTGAAAATAAAACTAGGTAAAAATAAATCGAGTGAAAAAAAGTTATAAAAGAAAAGATACATGATTTTATTAAACACACACTACATACACACACACACACACACACACAAGGAGCCCTTTAATTAGAGAAAATAGAGAGGTATTACTGTAAATGACATCCCATTAGCACCACTTAAATTGCAAGGGACAGCTTATAGCTCATGTGTGACTACGAAGCCAGCTAATTGGCTTTACAATAAAACACATTCTAATGCCATATAAGAACGGTCTATGAATTAGATTTTTATGAGGTTCATAAGCCTTTCCCAAAAGATATCCCAGTACAAGGGGTTTGCAGAGTACTTTGATATCTGCAAGACAAGTTGTAATAACAGATCCCTAAGCCGTTTTACTCCTCATAAACTTTCTTCAAAGGAGACAACATTTCTGGTTTGTTTTAGACTAACCAGTAGTGACTTTATAGGCGAACTGCTTCTTTATTTTAGAACTTTAATCAGAAGCTCTAGTCTTTATAATATATAAAGCAACTACATTTAAACTTGATGCATTCTCCACATGACTTATAGATACACAGATCAAACACATTCTGATTCTTTTATTTTTGCCATTCTTAAAAATAATGCACTTTATAAATTGGTTTAACTAAGATTTTCCAGGTTTTCTTTGTAAGTTAGGTAGCGTGCAATTCAGATGAAAAATGACCAGTGAGGAAGAAATAACTACAGTTAATCACATACAAGGTATCAACCCACAACAGGAAAGACACTTTTTGAGAAACAGTTACAGCATGGCTGGTAATGAGCAGTAATAACTTTCTAAACAAAAATAAAAATTCTAGAATATTCTCTGATCATCTCTTTATAGCTATTATTTTTCTCATTCAAATGAGAAAAAGGCCAGGCTCAGTGGCTCATGCCTATAATCCTAGCATTTTGGGAGGTCAAGTTGGCAGGATTGCTTAAGGCCAGGAGTTCAAGACCAGCCTGGGCAACATAGTGAGACATCATTTCTACAAAAAAAAAAAAAAAAAAAAAATATATATATATATATATATATATATATATATATATAATAGTCCCAGCTACTTAGGAGGCTGAGGTGGAAGGATCTCCTGAGTCCAGGAGGTTGAGGAAGTGGTGAGCCATGATCATGCCACTGCACCCTAGCCTGGGTGACAGAGACCCTGTCTCAAAAAAGAAAGAAAGAAAGAAAGAAAAAATGCAAAAAAGAAAAAAGGGTTATCTGTTTACTTCAATTATTTAGCATGAGACAATAAGCTTAGTGTTTTCTGTCACCTTTTTTGGGGTGGGGGGAGTAGAATCTCACTCCGTCGCCCAAGCTGGAGTGCAGTGGCACGCTCATAGCCACCACAGACCTGCTGGGCTCTAGCGATCCTTCCACCTCAACCTTCCAAGTAGCTGGAATTACAGGTGGCCGCTACCATGCCTGGCTTATTTTCTATTTATTGCAGAGACAGTTCTCGCCAAGTTGGCTGGGCTGATCTCGAACCCGTGGGGCTCAGACAATCTACTCACCTTGGCCTCCCAAAGTGCTGGGATGACAGATTGAGCCACCAAGCCCGGCCTCTGTCACCTTTTTATTGAGACTGAGGCCAGGAATCCCTGTACTTGTATAATCTTTACCCCACAATCTGCTATGAACTGCATGGAGTTAACGGATTTACTTTTGCAGACAGACAGGCCAGAATCATTAATTAGAGAAAAGCAGTTTATACAGAATGAGTGCAGCCTGGTGGCCATCAGCTGCCACTCATCTTCTCCACTCCAGTAGGCACCTCCTGGACAGTCAGGCTCTACAGAATCTAACTGAACATTGTTCCCACTCTCGCTTCTGTTATCTGCTTTGACCCCTTTAAAGATTTGGGCCACACTAGACATGGCGCTGGCCAGCGTGGTGGAGAGGCCGCTACTGGTGAACCGGCATGGGTTTTTTGGACTCGAGGGTCATGCAGATCTGCTGGATCTGGGTCCAGGGAGTCCCAGCGATGGCCTGAGCCTGGCCACGCCCAGTTGGGGTGTTCCAGAGGAGCTGGGAATTGAAATGCTTCATGGAACCACAACGCTGGCCTTCAAGTTCCATCATGGAGTCACAGTTGCAGCCGACACCAGGGCTACAGCGGGTGCTTACATTGCTTCCCAGACGGTGAAGAAAGTGATAGAGATCAACCCCTACCTGCTGGGCACCACGGCTGGGGGTGCAGCGAATTGCAGCTTCTGGGGGCGGGTGTTGGCTTGGCAATGTCGAATCTATGAGCTTCGGAATAAGGAACACATCTCTGTAGCAGCTGCCTCCAAACTGCTTGCCAACATGGTGTATCAGTACAGAGGCATGGGACTGTCCATGGGTACCACGATCTGTGGCTGGGATAAGAGAGGCCCTGGCCTCTACTACGTGGACAGTGAGGAGAACCGGATCTCGGGACCCACCTTCTCTGTAGGCTCTTGCTCTGTGTATGCTTATGGGGTCATGGATCGGGGCTATTCCTATGACTTGGAAGTGGAGTAGGCCTATGATCTGGCCCGTAGAGCCATCTACCAAGCCACCTACAGAGATGCCTCCTCAGGAGGTACGGTCAACCTCTACTACATGTGGGCGGATGGCTGGATTCGAGTCTCCAGTGACAATGGAGCTGATCTACATGACAAGTATAGTGGATCTACCCCCTGAAGGAGGGCGGATGTGGCTACTTGCATTTTTTGGGGTGACTGTCATTGGCAATATGGATACAGTGCCCCATCCTGTCTATAGTGGAGGGTCCTCAATTGTATCAGTCCTTTCTTTTTTTTTTTTTGAGTTGGAGTCTCACTTTGTCACCCAGACTGGAGTGCAGTGGCCGCTCCCAGCCACCGCAGCCCCGACCTGCTGGGCTCCGGCGATCCTTCCGCCTCAGCCTTCCAAGTAGCCGGAACTACAGGCACGCACTACCAAACCCGGCTAATTTTTGATTTATTGTAGAGATGAGGTCTCACCAGGTTGCCCAGGCAGGTCTCGAACCCGCGGGCTCAGGCAATCCACTCATCTCAGCCTCCCAAAGGCGCGGGATTACAGGCTGAGCCACCAAGCCCAGCTATTCAGTACTTTTTTTTAAAGCTCTGGAACATTGACCTCTATATGTTACCAGTTGTTAATGAGCTGCTGTAGAGGTGACTATTTGTTTTACTTTCTTGGATGTTAACATTACATTACTCGACCTCAAAAGTAAGAAAATGAAAAATAAAGATCTGGGCCAAGTAGGTGCATTTTGTAGGTACCTAAATCACTTATAAGAGAAGGACAGAGTAAGAGCCGTTTGTCAATTCTGCATGACCTGTCATGCCCTGTCACCCCTCATGGGGCCCTAACTTCCACCAAATGACTCCAGTATCAAATACCTTTATTTTGCTGCTGTTTGACCTGCCACCAGGGCCTAATATCTGGATGCTGACATTTAGTGATTTGTTAAACAGATCTTCCATCCTCCTCACTGGGCAGCTTCTCTGCCCAGTTCCATGACCTTCCCTCCATGAGATTCCAAACTTGAATTTCTGACTCATCCCTGGTTGTTTTCTTGGAGTTGACACTTTGCCTGCCTGGGCCATGGTCCCAGTCTATCCCTTACAACTTAGCCAACTTCCCCTAAACTTGACTTCTTACATGTCAGACTTATGATAGCAACCAAACTACTTTGCGGAAGACCAAATTCCAGTCTCTTACACAATAAGGGTATGAAGTTATTTTGACGTCAAGCCCAAGCTATTTGGAGAGGTGGAAAAAGAGACATATTTGCATATCCAGAGACTAAGGCTTGATCATAAGGACTGATTCAAGAAGAGACACATACCAAAAACAAAAAACAAAAACAAAAAAAATACTGCAGCTTGTTAGCGAAACACGGAAACTGCAAAAGATTTCACAGGACACTTAATACATGACATACCAAATAAAGTTTGTTGGATGGTAGTAGTGGCTCACACCTGTAGTCCCAGCACTTTGGGAGGCGAAGGTGGGAGGGTCACCTGAGCCCAGGAGTTTGAGACCAGCCCAGGCAACTCAGCAAAAACTCATCTCTAGAATAAATTAAAAAAAAAAAAATTAGCCAGACTGCTGGCACACAACTGTAGTTCTAGCTACTTGGAAGGCTAAGGAGGAAGGATCACATGAAACCAGCAGGTAGAGGCTGCAATAGCTGTGAGTGTGCCACTATACTGCAGCCTGGGCAACAGAGTGAAACTCGACTTAAAAAAAAAAAGTTTATTATCAAAACGTAAATGAAGAAAAACTGGTATCCGGACACCCTTTAATAAAGTACATTATATGAAAAGTTAGGCCAAGCAAGGTGGCTCACACCTGTAATCCTATCACTTTGGGAAGATGAGCCAAGAGTTCAAGACTAGTCTAAGCAACATAGCAAGATCCTGTCTCTACAATAAATTAAGTTTTAAAAAGCAATAAATAAAAAATAAAATATATTATATGCAAAGTTAATAAATAGAGAGTAAGTCTGGCCATTTTCAACAAATCCTTATGTATTTTCCATACAACTACAAATTTTATTTTATTTTATTTTATTTATTTATTTTTGAGTTGGAGTCTCACTCTGTCACCCAGACCGGAGTGCAGTGGCCGCTCCCAGCCACCGCAGCCTCGACCTGCTGGGCTCCGGCAATCCTTCCGCCTTAGCCTTCCGAGTAGCCGGAATTACAGGCACGCGCTACCATGCCCGGCTCCTTTTTTGATTTATTGTAGAGATGAGGTCTTGCTGCCCAGGCAGGTCTCGAACCCACGGGCTCAGGCAATCCACTCACCTCAGCCTCCCAAAGGCACGGGATTACAGGCTGAGTCACCGAGCCCGGCTACAACTACAAATTTTAAAAGAACCTTTGTATAATGACACGGGGGTCAACACAGAACAGCATGTATAGTTGCTACCATTTGGGTAAAGACAGCAGAAAATATGTATATAATAGTTCTCCCAAACTTTGGTAAAACCCATTAATAGAAGCAGAATGGTTGGAAACTTGCAGAATTTATCTAGGTTGGGGGAACTCTCCTCTCATCATGTGAGTTATGTATGTTGACCATGAATTAGTGAGCTGTTCAGGCTAGTTGGACCTATTATTTCAATTAGATAAATTATACAATATTACTCAAACTGATGAAATATGAGTTCAAAAAGTACTGTTTCCATGAAAACTAAGTTGAATGCCATGGAAATCCTTCATACAGGCAGGTTGCCAAGAAACATTGCTGTTGCATTTGGGAAAAGCTAGACAACCAACCAAAAAAAATTTTTAAAGGTATATAAATCTAGAATTGCACACTCATGTCAGAAGAGATTTTAAATGTTAATATTATAAAATTTTTATTTATTTTTTGAGTTGGAGTCTCACTCTGTCGTTCAGTCTGGAGTGCAGTGGCATGGTCACAGCCACCCCAGCATCAAACTGCTGGGCTCCTGTGATCCTTCTGCCTCAGCCTTCCAAGTAGCCAGAACTACAGGCGTGTGCCACCATGCTTGGCTAATTTTTAAAAATACTATAGAGTCGAGGTCTCACCAAGTTGCTCAGGCTGGTCTCGAATCCCTGGGCTCAGGTAATACTCTTGCCTTGGCCTCCCAATGTGCTGGGATTACAGGCGAAGCTACCGAGTCCAGCCTAAATTTTTATCTTTTAATACAACAACACACCTGAAAATACATTTTTGTCATTATGTTTCTGTATGCTATATGAACATGGAGAAAGACATGAAAAGGTAGATACCGGGTTATAAATATGTTTCCTACTTTTGTATTATTTTGTTTTGGAAGCAGTTATGGGGCAAGGTGAGGGAGAGAAAGGCTATATATGAGAAAAAAGTTACACAGTAAATAACATAAATAAAAAGAATCATGAAAGGATGATCATTAAAACATTACTGGCAGTTATTTTTGAGCAATTTTATTTTTCTTTCATGGATTTCTTTATCATTTGAATATTTCACAATAAGCATTATTTTACACAACATAAGAAAATGAACCTATTTTTAATTTTGATCTTATTTATCTATCTATCTATTTATTTATTTTTGAGTTGGAGTCTCACTCTGTTGCCCAGGCTGGAGTGCAGTGGCACGCTCCCAGCCACCGCAGCCTCCGTCAGCTAGCACAGGTGCTCCTTCCACCTCAGCCTTCCAAGTAGCTGGAACTACAGGCATGCGCCACCACACTTGGCTAATTTTTTGATTTATTGTGGAGGCAAGGTCTCACCAAGTTGCCCAGGCTGATCTTCAGCCCCTGGACTCAGGTAATCCTCTCGCCTCAGCCTCCCAAAGTGCTGGGATCACAGGCTTGAGCCACCGTGCCCGGCAATTTTGATTTTTTTTTAACTAGAAAAAAAAGAGAGAGAGAGAGAGAACAAAGATCATAAGCCTAACTTTGGGTGGGGGGAGGGGCGGGAAATCACTGCCCAGACACTGCAGGAAAATTATTTTGATCTTTGCTAACAGAAGGCTACTTTTGTACAAGAGGAGAAAGACAGCAGGGCCACACCTCTGCGGTCCAATTTCCAGACCCTAACGTTCCATTCTTCAGGGAGCCAAGGGCCGGTTGTTTCAAATCTCTTCCATGCTTGACCTTTAGCACGACACTCACCTGTTCATGCTTACCTGCAGTATTTTTCTTTTTTTTTGAGTTGGAGTCTCACTCTGTTGCCCAGACTGGAGTGCAGTGGCTGTTCCCAGCCACCGCAGTCTTGACCTGCTGGGCTCCGGTGATCCTTCCGCCTCAGTCTTCCAAGTAGCCGGAATTACAGGTATGCGCTACCACAGCCGGCTGATTTTTTGATTTATTGTAGAGATGAGGTCTCGCCAAGTTGCCCAGGCGGGTCTCGAACCTGTGGGCTCAGGCAATCCACTCACCTCAGCCTGCCAAAGCGCTGGGATTACAGGCTCAGCCACTGAGCCCGGCTTACCTGCAGTATTTTAATAGAAAATTACCACTGCCTGGTTTGTAACTTTAGCCCATAGACCTATTTAGGATTCTAAGTCTGCTTGCCTTCTGGTAGATTTTCAGTATTTAACTCTGGACCAGTGCTTCACTCAAGCAATGCTCATCGCACGCTACCATCTTATTGTAAGAGCAACGCATTCGATATCCTTTGATTTCCCATCAGACAGGGAACACCAGATTGGAAGGTGCTCTACTCTGTATTAACTGCAAGGGACAGAGACCTTTGACACTAAGTTCCAAGGATACATTTCCGAGTAGATAGGGAGCAAAAGACTAAGGAAACCTTGCCTTGTAAAAAAAAGTTTATTTAGAGCCGGGCTCGGTGGCTCAGCCTGTAATCCCGCATCTTTGGGAGGCTGAGGTGAGTGGATTGCCTGAGCCCGCAGGTTCGAGACCC